GTAATAATAAAACATCACTATACGATGCATCAATAATGAAGTAATAATAGTATTTATAAACTAAAAAGAGAATGAGTAATTACTAAAATTCAAAAAAAAATAAAACACTTCCCCCTTATAATAACAAACCCCTTAAAGTAAAATTATAACCAAAATATGTTTCTGCCATCTCTTATAATATATGAAAGTACCGCAGAACTTTTTTAGAGTGCTCAAACATGGGCTAATTCTCAAGGTTATGTGTTGGTGAAAAAGAAAACACGTAAAAATCAGTATAGTAATTTAAAAAATATTGCATTGTGGTGTGACTGGGGTGGAATCTATAGTGGCAAAGAAACACTTCTAAGACAAACAAGTATCTGGTTGATTAATTGCCCTTTTGAGTTATATGCTGTTAGATATGATAATCTATAGCATATAGAAATTCGTGATAGTAATCATATTCATGACCTCTCAGAAGATTTATCAGAGTACCCAATATCACATCGACTCACAAATTAACAATTAGCAAGGGTTGCAGAAATGACTACCTCCAGTTCACATCTTAGGAAAATAATATCAACTATTTGCCAAAATAATCCATCAGCATCAGTAATAAATAAGAATATTTATAACACACGTCAGCAGCTTTGCCAATGAAATTTAGCAGGCAGTACTCTAGTTGAAGCATTGATAGATGAGCTTAGAGAAGGTGATTATATGTATGAATACAAATGTGATGATATAGGCCATATTACTCACCTTTTCTTCGCTTATAACGAATCTGTTCTACTTACTCGTCGATATTCCTCTGTTATCCTTATGGATTGTATATACAAAACAAACAAGTTTAAAATGTCTTTGCTAAATGTCATTGGTATCACCAGTTTCAATTCTACTTTTTTTTCTTGTTTTGTCTTTATGAAAGACAAAGACAAAGCAGATTACCTATAGGCGTTAACTTGTATAACCAAATTATTCAACAAGGTACTAAATCCTAAGGTCATTGTAACGGATAGAGAATTAGCCTTTATAAATGCACTCAAAATAACTTTTTCAGGTTTGGCTAATTTATTATGCCTATGCATATTAATAAGAACATTATGAAAAATTGCAAGTCGCAATTTGAAAGTGATAACGAGTAGCAGACCTTTCTCTCAGAATAAAATAAAGTTGTTCAGTCATAAACAGAGGATGAATTTAATATAAAATGGTCAAATTTTCTTAATATTTATACAAATAAGCCCCATATAATCAACAATCTTAAAGAAGTTTGGATGCCTTGAAAGGAGAAATTTGTAAAAGCTTGGACCAATAGATTTTTTTATTTGGGAATGACCGTTAACTCCTAGATTGAGAGTGCTCATGCAATATTAAAAACATACCTACGTACATCAGCAGGAGATCTTTATGATGTTCGTGTAAAAATTGCCTTGATAGTAAAAAATCAAAAAAAAGAAGTAGATACTATAATTGCATCAGAAAAAATTCGCTTCCCGATTTTTGCACAAAATAATTCTCTATATGCAAATATTAAGGGCAAAATTTCCAATTTTGCCCTTAAAAAAATAGATGAGCAATATCAAAAAATAAAATGTGCAACAGCACAAGATCCTTTACTACCATGTACCGAATCGTTCTATAGCACAATAGGACTTTCTTGTGCTTATCAAATCCAACTTCTTGAAAATCATCAAAGCTTAATACTTGATGTTTTCATGAGCATTGGTGGATACAAGCTAATTTACCAATACCACCTGTCGAAACAAATATTTACGAACTACAGCCCTTTTGCAATCTCTACAAGAAAAGTATAAAGAATAGCC